AAAACCCCTCTCTCTTATTGGATCTTGATTAATCATAATCATGTTTTTGATCAAATTTGCAAATTCAGGTAGCATTGTCTATACTAGTAGAGTCCTATTGAATATTACACTCAATCATAGTTTTATCCATTCTCAGTCCAAATTGTATAAGTGCCATAATTTATTTTTATCCTATATAAAGTGTATTATTGATTTTCTATTGGTTTATTATCTTCTTAGCTGGTGTTTAAACTAAATCCTGAAAGACCTGACTTTTTAGGTATTTATTGACCTATTTATTTATAAGATAGAGAAAAGATAAATATTGAATAAAATCAGAGATGTTAAGGTTGCCTATATTATGTCTACTTATTTAGATTACCAAGTTTATATCTTAGACCTTGTGGCTTAGTGGCTTAGAGCATCTGTTCTGGGTGCTTGCATACATGAAGTTGTTGGTTCAACTCTTGCAAAAGGCAAATTTGTTATAAGGTATATTCTGTGCTTAGGTATTCAACTAGTGCTCTAATAGACATGACTCTATAAGAAGGCTATGAGAACTGTAATGCTTGATTTATTATGATTTTTTCGAAATTTCAAGTTATAATCAATCCTAATGATTCCTAATTTAGGAAAATTATATCTAATTAGAACAGGTTTAGAGGGGGGGTAAGCTAAAAATATCTAATCCAAATCTTTTATAATTTAGTATAGTAGAGCATTAATTACAGCTAATTAGAGCTTAATTTAAGGGGGTGGTTTTCCAGATGTACTTGTAAACAGTGAGGCTCTACCACACTATGGTTAAGAAACAAAGCAATATTTAGTAAAATAATATGAAGGATAAATAAGGTAGATTATAAAAAAAAATAAAGAGAAATAGATTGACCTAAGACACTTAATAAGCACATACAATCAAGCTTACTATAAGAAAATATTGTGAAAATAAATATTAAAGCTTTTTTATAAGGTAGTGTGAGCCATACAAAGCTAGGGCTTAGCAGTGTTGGTATTGTCAAATATACCTTATCAACTAGCTGTGCCACATATGGGAATAATTATGAGAAATATAAAATACTACTAACTATGCTATAATAAAGACTATATCTAGCCTACTATTGTGAGTTTGTATAAGGGCCTCAAAGAATATTGCACAATGCTATGAGTTATTCCAAGCTTGGCAAGGAGTAGTAGAACACCTGTAATAGTGGTTTTAGAGACTCTGTGATCACATACAATTAGCTGCAAAATAGGGCAAAAATAGGGATTTTTGGCACTTAGAAAGGTAACATACTCATTAACATAGCACTAGCACTCAACAAGAGTAGGATATACAAGCTAATAGATATATGGTTAACAAACCCGCAAAGCTTATAAAAGATGCAGCACTAGTGCTTAACAAGGGTAGGATGCATAAGCTAGTGAATATGTAAATAAGGAGCCTACTTACAATGCCAAAGACAAGCCACTAACTATGCTAGAGATAAGCCTGCAATACATAAGCTAGTAGATGTGTGGTTGATATACTTTACATTTCTGGTTGTCTGGTACATGTCATCAATCTCACTATGCAAGCCTTATTCTATACTTAAAATAACTCAAGGTATTTTAATCTTCATAACTCTAAGGAACAAGTTTATAATCCAAATAATTGTGACAATCTTGTTGGAGTCATTCATAAAAACTTAGTTAAGGTTAGTATATATTGCTTGCTCCACTTTTACAAATAGGAATATTGATGTGTAATGCCAAAAACAATCTTTAAGCAAGCACAAAGATATATTTGCACAGATCTAAAGAATATAACACAAGAATGCCAATCTATTACTCAAGCCCATGCTATGAAATCAGACTCTTGGCCTTTTCTTGACATGCTAATTAGGTGGTCCTTAATATATATTATACTTGCTCAAGCCCTAGTTTACTCATTTATTTCTAAATTGATATTGGAAAAAAGCCATCATGAAAATAAGGCCAAGCTATTAGGTCAAAGACCTATCATATGTACTTTAATACACTAAAAGGGATTTTCTAGGCTATTTGAATTATGAGACTCCAATGAATAAAGACGATGTATTATCTTTGAGCTTATAAAAAGAACTTAGAGTGATTATCTGCTTTATCTTTAAAGAGATGAAGGAGATAATCTTCAAGGATTTCTCAATAGTCATCTGGAATGTGACTTTCTTCTCTTGTCCAACAAATGACTTTTGGGGGTATTTAGCTGAGAACTCAAAAGGTAACAAGCCCTCTATATGTCATAAAGACTAAAAAATGATAAGAGTGAGAAGATGAATCTAATGCTTTGTCAGACTATACAAGGATTTCTTAGATCTGACAGAGTTTATAAAGCATAAGCTAGGAAAATAGCCAGATACCAGGTATAGTGCAAAAATCAAGTGTATTATAAAGTGAATGAGCTAAAGAAGCATGCTTACTTTTTGACCTATCTAAATACATAAAGCTACTTTAGGGCCAGATCAAGATCTGGTCTATACTTCTAAAAGTAGACTATATATCTGCAAAGTAATGGGTATTAGAGATAATCTTTTTATAGTAAATGATCAAGATCTGTAATCAATGACAATACTTCATCATCAAAGTTCTAAGTATAGTATAAGAACCACCAATGTCCATCTATATCTAGTAAATTTAGGAAATAGGAACCAATCAGAGGCCAAATGTTATCTAAAGCATAAGTGTTCATACCTAAGCATGTGAATATATAAGTAGCTAAGTGTTTATGTGTCAGCATGTTGATAATTAAGGATCCCAAAACAAGTTATAACCAAATAACTTGACCAGTTCTGCCTCTTCACATGCTTTACACATATTAAGATATGGTTCTAACATAAGCTGAAGGCACTCTAACTCTTCCCTAATAAATGGGCTTACATTAAACTATTTATATCTCATCTATTAGTATATTTGGGATTGGCACACTTGTGTGTACACTTGTTCATGCTTTTTAATTCTAAAGTGGGCTAATAAGGCTCAACAACAGTTTTTATCTAGCTAATATCTATTTCTTTTGCTTGCTATTCTAGCTTTCAAAAGTATTTACTGTGCTTAAAGTATCTATTTTGAATATGAGAGATATACACCATTTCATGCCACCCTAATACACAATCAAGAGTTCCTATGAGCTCACTTTGAAAAGCAATATGTATATTATAGCAATGAGTTTGTTTCTTTTTTCCTTATTATAGCTTTTACTAATTTAGATCTAAATTCTATTTTGGGATCCATGCTAGAAATTATCATACTTTAAGAAACATTAGAACAGTTCCCTGTAAGGTAATATCCTTAAGAATATGACCAAAATCATATGTTCTTTTTAACTCTTTGAGACACTTGCTAACTTGTCTATTGATAGTTCCATAGATATTACAGAATAATATATCCAAAAGATCTATCAACTATCAAGTAGAGTAGTGTAATGCATCAAAGCAAAAATATATGCTATCGAATAATAAGGTAGAATCTTGTTTATTTATACCTTGATTAAGTCAGGCTTTTTTGGAGATAATAAAATCTGTTCTTGTATGGGAGTGAGAATTCAATAAGTATATTCATAGTGAGATCAAGGATAAGCTACTATCTGAACTTATACTAATAAAGTGGTGGTCAGTAAGGACCCTTATTTCCTAAGTTATTTTTAGCTGCTTCATTCTTTTTATTATAGACAAATGTCCATAGGTATCTAGTCTGGACTTTGCTTGATTGAGACTACCAAACAATCATGGCATCTTTAGTATTAAGTGAATGTGTATTTTCAAGTGTTGATATTACAATCACCAAGTATCAAAATTGTCTCAAGGCTAATATTTTTGAGATGCTATAGGGATTAAAATATGCATTTAAGCAAAATATTATAGTATGTTAATAAGTATGCCACCTCTCTAAGTACTAATACCTCTATTTTTGCATCTCTAAATAGCATCCTAACCTTCTACTATTCATTAGAAATGTGACAAGTGTGAATAAAGCATTAAGTAATAGATGGACCTAGTTTAGGAGTGACCAATCAAGTTCTAAAGGAAGAGGTGGTGCTGGAATAACTGAAGGGGGAGCCATAGAATGAGCAACAATAGAAGCAGCAGGTTAAGGAGGTGCTGGGTCTGGCACAGAATAATCCTAATTGATAGGAGTATTTTTCAAGTGACTAGTAGGAGAATGAGCATCCACTTCCCTCCCCAGAACTGGCACCAGATTAACATTAGCATCCCAAAGACTAAACAAAGATAAAGGAGGAGGGGTGGCAGACTGGGTATTTGCAATAAAATTGCAAGTCCTAGGAAAGAATCACTTGTCAAAGTCTGTCTTCTCAGAGATAATAACATTCAGAGTTGCAGGATTGTAGAAATTCCATACCTTATAGCTATTAGGGTACCTAATAAACATGCACTCCCTCTGGCCCTCTAAAACAGGCCCTCTTTGATGATGGTACTAATTATAGTAGAGGTTTCTCAGCCATGATACCTTCAATATGTTGTGGCAATATGGGATTTGATACCCTGGGATTAAGATGCCTATCCATATATGACCCAAATTCATCTCTCTTGTCTCTCTTGTCCCTCTACACATACATATAAGCCAAGTAGCCCTAGACCCACAAGTGTGAAATATTTAGTTTCTTCCCATAGACTATCTCAAATAGTGTCTTTCCCTTCAAAGTTAATATTCAAAGCCAATTCCAAATATACACATAAGTGGTCAAGGCCTTGCTCTAAAAAACAAGTAGTGTGTGTGACTTTAAGAGCAATAATAGTGAGGGCCTCCATGATAGTCAAATTGGCCTGCTCTACTACACTATTCTGCTATAGCTAATTGCGCACTGTATGCCTCCTAGTGATCCTATGCTCTAAGCAAAACAAGTCTCAAACATTGAAAATATACTCTCCTCCCTTATTATCCTACAAGGCCAGAATTTGCTCTCTAGTAAGGTTCTCCACATAGGCCTTATAGTGCCTAAAGGCCTCAAATATATTACTTTTCAAGCATAGAGCATAGATGATCTTGAGATTAGTAAACTCATCAATAAAGATGATCCAGTAGTGCATTCTAAAGTAAGTAATGACAGGAAGAGGACTATAGAGATCAAAATGGATGAGTTCAAGTGGTTTCAAGGTCACAAAGTCAGTAAAAGAAAAGAGATGAGCATGCATCTTGCCAGAGAGACAAGGCTTACATATAGGGTCAAGCTACATGTCAGAACCAACCTGCAGACCAGTAACAAGATGCTCTTTGACCATTTTCACACTCTAGCATAGTGATAGTGGCAGGGACAATGATGCCATAGGGATTATTGAGGGGGAGAGTAGAAGCAGCACTAGCAGACTAAAAAACAATGGTGGAGGTGGTCCCTTGAAGATAAGCATTGTTGGAACCATCAGGAATGACTGCCATGAACCACACTGTGCCATCCTACATCTGGAAAACCACTCCCTTGTATTAAGCTCTAATTAGTTCTATTTATGCATAATTAAGAATGATTAGGATTAGATATTTTTAGCTTACCCCCCTTCTAAACCTGTTCTAATTAGACATAATTTTCCTAAATTAGGAATCATTAGGATTGATTATAACTTGAAATTTCGAAAAAATCATAATAAATCAAGCATTACAGTTCTCATAGCCTTCTTATAGAGTCATGTCTATTAGAGCACTAGTTGAATACCTAAGCACAGAATATACCTTATAACAAATTTGCCTTTTGCAAGAGTTGAACCAACAACTTCATGTATGCAAGCACCCAGAACAGATGCTCTAAGCCACTAAGCCACAAGGTCTAAGATATAAACTTGGTAATCTAAATAAGTAGACATAATATAGGCAACCTTAACATCTCTGATTTTATTCAATATTTATCTTTTCTCTATCTTATAAATAAATAGGTCAATAAATACCTAAAAAGTCAGGTCTTTCAGGATTTAGTTTAAACACCAGCTAAGAAGATAATAAACCAATAGAAAATCAATAATACACTTTATATAGGATAAAAATAAATTATGGCACTTATACAATTTGGACTGAGAATGGATAAAACTATGATTGAGTGTAATATTCAATAGGACTCTACTAGTATAGACAATGCTACCTGAATTTGCAAATTTGATCAAAAACATGATTATGATTAATCAAGATCCAATAAGAGAGAGGGGTTTTCCAAATAGCTACTAGTGAGGTAGAGGGTGGGGACAAGAGTATATGTATGGCATGCCTATATATAAATAAGCACAAGATTGTTGGTGGTGATCTTAATATGCTTAATGCATATATTTCCTATATGGCAGGCAAATATATCATTCTGGCACCATATACCAACATGATTGTCTTTTCCACAGCCCAATAGCTAGAGGAAAACACCAAGTTTGAGCATCTTCTGTATAACAAGGCAATAAACAATATAAATAGTGCTAAAAATTGTGATATCAATAGTGATGATGATTGTGTGCTGCATAAGACAGTATTAGCCACTATACTAATAGACAAGGTCTATAAGGCTGCATATAGCATATCCCTAAGTCCAACCCACATGTTGTGTCCTATAATGACCAGTAGCAGTCATTAGCTAACAATGACAACTTTAATGATCTTGTGTACAAGGCCAAGGTACCTAGGTCTTCATAGCCTCTTGTGGCAGCTGCCAAGCTGCCAATAAAGTGGCTAGGGGCATCAATGCATATTTCTCTCTTTCTATATCCCTTATAAAAGCAGCTGGAAAGTCAGCAAAAGAGCTACAAGATAATGATATAGGCATATATGAAGGAGAGTAATGTGCTAAAATAGTATAGAATGTGCCACATCTTTACCTTCTCACTGATAGAGCAGTAGTACTTACTATTTCCTACTAATAATTAGAGACTTCTTAGTATAGAATTAGTGCTAATATCATGAAATCAGAAACCAATCCAATGCTCACAATGTGTTGCTCCCAATTAGGAAATTGGACACTTTTAGATACTATTAACACTTTTAGATACTTTTAGACACTATTAGATATAATCCAGAGCTAATACAAGGGGGTGGTTTTCCAGATGACTACCTCTATGCATAGTTTTGTTTATCTCTTAATTTTACTGTCTTAGTATGATATTGCTCTTACTTTACCTTATAACATCATACTTGCTTTACTTACTTTAATTTTACTATAAATACCTACTTATAATTTTCAAATATACTAGTTCTAAACATTCCTCTATTTAGAGCTTAACTTTATAAGAAGACCTTGCTTATACTATACCTTATTGTTGTTGCCTTTGTCTTACTTGTCTACCTTTTGTACAGCCATTGTCTTTATTACTAGGGCCCTCACTGTTACCCTTAAAGTCTCCTTGGTTTGCACATTATACTTTATACTATGCTAATTGTATACCTTGTAACTTTGCATTACTACAAACCATCTCAATAATCCTTGCCTACTCTTTGCTACATTTTATGCAACATTGTAAGACTTTGTATATGTATCTTGTACCCTGCTTTGTGCTTACAAAAATGTCTCTTAATTTCTAGTAAAGTTAGCTCAATACCTATCTATATTTAGTAGTATGTTTTGTTGTGTGTTTTTTTGCATACAGAGCCATTATAAGTGGATTAGTGTCTTATGCTTTGTGGGCTTGTCAACCACATATTTACCAGCTTGTGTATCCTGCCCTTATCAAGCACTAGTGCTTGTCTCTTATAGGCTTTGTAGGGTTGTCTCTAGCCTTGTAAGTAGGCTTTTTATTCATGTATTCACAAGCTTGTGTATTCAATCCTTATTAAGCACTAGCATGGTATTTCTTGATTTATAAGCAGGTATATCTACTAGCTCACATATTTTATCCCTATTAAGTACTAGTGCCATATCTTTTTTTATAAGCTGGTGCTTTCTAAAGTGCCAATCTAGTGTTATAACCACATATGTTTTTAGTATTATTATGTATATGTCTATTTGATCTATGTGCTGTCATATAATAAGACACTTTAAAGTTAGAAGGTAAGAGAGAGTCAAATTAACACATACTAACCAATTTTAGAAAATTATTATCTAGACTAACTTATATTTTCTATCTTTTCCAAAGTAGCCTAGTTATTTGTTGTGGAGGGTAATTATTTTGTGTATATTATGGTACCAGTTTATCTTACTATGTAAAGCCATGTACCTAAGTTTAGAGGTGCATAATCCCTAAGAGACTAAATACTAGTATATTACAGAGTATATTATTCCTAGAAAGATACTATATATTAAGATCAGTAGTATAATGTGAGAAATACTTTTTTATTTGAAAGAATCTAAAAGACAAGTATAATAAAAAGATAAGACTGGGATATCAGACTAATATATATCAAACTTGGTGTTTTTAAAGCTTTCTTACTAATATAGGTAATATTTTTTGGCCAGATTAGACTTAGAACTAACTCAATGTCTTTTTTAGACTAATATAGCTTTAAACTTATCAAAAGATACTTGATAGTAATTTTAGAGGACTTAGTGATTAATAAAGACTGCTTTATAAGATAACAGTAACTTTTTAAGATAAGAGCAACTTTAGTAACATAAGCAATATTTGCTATTTTTAAGGCATATGCACTTCTCTTTTATATGTTTTTAAAAAGACTGTATATAAGACCTAAATTAGGGTATTTACAAATATATCTAAGTATTAAAGACCCCAAATTGAAGTATCCAGTTTGAACCAGAATAGAATAAGCTTTTCTAGATTTTTCTAAAATATAGCCTGGAATTATTATAGATTCCCTATTAGTAGCCTAAGTGGGTTTGGATTCTCTAGCCCCTTGATAATGTTTATGGCCATTCTACTTTATTTTCTATGCTTATTACATTATGGACTTATTAATTACTTGCTTTTATAGCTAGAAATAGCCCTATAGCTACTCTCAAAGTAGGTATATTAGCTCTTAGACTGTTTTACTTAGTTTTACCTTGTCTTACTTTGTTTTAGTTAGTTTTACTAGGTTTTACCAAAATAGATGGTCCTCTATAATATCATTGACTTCTGGACTGACCTCTAGGTAAAGCTTTTAACTACTCTACAAGGTAGACTATCTACAATGACTTATTAATATTATACCTTTCTTTTTTGTTTCTTATTGTTCTCTATAGCATAAATATCTATAGTCCAAGAGTGTTTCTTTTTTTAGTCTCTTATCCTCTAGACTACAGTTCTATTGTTATAAAACTTTCTTTTGGCACTCCCTCTATGCCAGTTGCTTTATTCTTATTATGCTCAATACTTAATTTTTTATTTGCTTTCTAAGCTATTATAAAGTATTTTGGTATATTAGAAAGCATATAAGATCCATGTGATTTTATAAGAGTCTAGATTAGCTTGGCTCTACTCTAGTCTTTCCTAGACTTCATTGTCTATTAAGATAAAACCAAGATAGCTTTGTTAATAAATATAAATACTTAAGTCCCTAGTAAGTTAAGATTTAACAAAAGACAATTATATATATCCACAAATATAAATCAAATGTCCATCCATATCCTAAGTATAAAACTAGAGCCAAGTAAGAATACAATGTCTAAAATATAAGGATTGTGTGATTTAGAAAAAAGAATAAATAAGAAATACTAGAATTAAAAAATATGAACTTAACAAATAGACATGGAAAGATAAAGTGTTCATAGCCTAGTAAATTAATGGAAGATTATACCTTTTACTCTTACTAACACTTACCTTATAATCTCTAAGATATCACTATTAGATATAAGAATATGTTTATAGTTAGAGCTAAAAAGAGCTCAAATATACTTATAAAACATGTGATATATTGCATAGCTAAGTGGGAAAGAGAAGTTAATATCAAAGGTAAATATTACCACTATAAACTACTATTTATTACTTGTTCTACCAAAAATAACAATATAATTATTTTATTATATTATTTTGGAAAGAACAATAGTTGTGAACTTATAGTTACTATCTAGCTTTCTTTGAATTATGTCTACTAAACCCCATTTTCTAATCAAAACCCTTTTTTTATTTTATTTAGAAAAGACACAAACTTTTATCAATACTCCTTTTACTAAAACTAGTGATAGTCAAATTCTATTTTTGGCAAAAAGAATCAACATCATTAGTAGCTCATTCAAAGGTAATAGAGCTAAAAGAATAATAGAAAAGATATTAACATAGTATGTTGATTTATAAGGGATGGTTATAAATAAGCAAGATAATAGAAAGACGGAGGATAT